ACTGCAGCATTGGAAAGATAAATGTATGGCCCCATTTATTCAATGGATTGAAGACCTGATTTCACTTGCCACTTATGAGTGGATATAGACGTAGACTTTGTATGGACAAGTATAATGAAATATAGGATTCATTTATACAAAATGCAGTAGGTTAAAAAAACATGATAGTCATATAAATCTATTAGAAATATATAGGCACTTGCATTATATTTGTATTAGATAAGCATATATAGAATTGAAATTGTTTGTTATAATGATATATTAATACTTTTTTCTCTTTGTTGTATTTTTTTCACTTTTTTGTTAAACCACTTTTATGTATTTTTTTTGTAATAAAAAAATTTAGATAGAAAAAGAAAGAAAGAAAGAAAGAAAGAAAGAAAGAAAGAAAGAAAGAAAGAAAGAAAAAGAAATTATAAACTAGAGAAGTTCTTATAAATGACTATTATCTTAAAAATATATGTCACTTTAGATTGTAACCTCAAACACTATTATAATTTACATCAAGATCCAGAACATGGCCAGTGAGATGATGGCAACATACTGACACTTATCTACAGGAGCAGATCTTAGCACTAGTAATAAGTAAATAAATATTTTACCATTGTTAGTAGTATCAGACTGTAATTCCATATTCACTCATCTGGGAATAAGTTCCAAATTTTGTCATGGTCCCAATGAATTCCTACTTAGTATGAATTCCTATCTAGAGGAATTACATACCAACATTAAGTCTGTAAAATTGAAAGCCAGTTTGGTCTAGGGGTTAAGGCTCCAGGCTAGACACCAGGAGACTGTGAATTCTAGTCCCACCTTAGGCATGAAAGTTGGCCGGGGGACTTTGGGGCAGTTACTGTCTCTCAGACCCTGACATCAGGCTTGGGCGACAAGCCAGTTGCTCAATTTCTGTTGCAACCAACAGATCAATTTTAGTTGATCCGGAAAAAAACTGGGCCCTGCACATGTGGAAAAACTACTAGGATGAAACAAAATTACACTTTTTTTATGCTGTTGGAAAGCACACAAAGCAAAAGTCATCAAAGTGGGTACGTGTGTATACGTGTGCATACAGTATATACACAGGAGCCAACTTTGGGTTACTCACAGTTAGTCTGTAAATACTTTCAGTAATCTAGTTCATAAGACATGTTAAAATCCAACAAAGAGATGCCAATGTTCTAGATGCTCATTACTCTTCTTTTTTTCCCCTTTCCCCTCATGTTATCTGTCTAGTTTGTTAAACAATATATTGCTTTAAAAACACTGTAATAATAGACTTATCCAGAAACCAGGATTGAAAAATCCATGTTTGATCTACAAACATGCTTTGGGAAAAAAAAACCCAGTAAAATGCAAATTTCATGGCTCAAAAAAGAGTTTAACTCCTTAAAAAAGTTTAACAAAGCAGAAAATCTAGTATTAAGCTGGGTACAGAAATTGAGAAGAAAGGGGCAGAAGGGAAAATTCTTATACAGAGCATATTCATATTACAAGAAATAAGACACTGGATATTTAAACTGATCCAATGTGCCTATGATATTTTTAAAAAGTTTGGTGAGCTTCCTTAAATAAGGGTCTGAGAGCCAGTTTGGTTAAGGCATCAAGAATCTAGAAATCTAGTCTCACTTTAGGCACAAAGCCAGCTGGATGACCTTGTCTGTCTCTCTCTCAGCCCCAGGAAGAAGGCAATGGCAAACCATTTCTGAAAAACATTGCCAAGAAAACTGCAGAGACTTATCCAGGCAGTCACCAGGAGTCAACATTGACTCGAAGGCACACACACAAAAACAGAAGTCGGAAATCTGAGGTCATCCAAATATTGTTACCGTGCATCTTCCATCAGTCCTAACCAGCATGGTCAACGACTTGAGTTGATAGAAGTTGTAGTCCAGGGGTGGGCAACTTTTTACTGGCTGGGGATACTGTAATAGATGAGACAATTATGTAGAACATAATAAAATGGTATCATACAATTGGACAAGGCCAGATTGTAGGGGGAACTTTTAAGGAGAATTTGACTTTTTAAACAGATTATATTGAGCCTCTTTTAGGATATACATTAGTTTTTAAGTGTTTCCTCCTTCAAAATGACAAGAAACTGTTGATTATCAGCAGTTGTGTATGCAGAAGGGATAATGAAAGGTGGAAAAAATTGGGTTCAGTTGCCATATGTGACTCTCGGGACTCAGCTACTCAACCTTATTGTAGTCCAATAACTTCTGGTGAATAATAGGCATCTCAGTCCTCTGCTAAAGTCTCAGTAAATGTAACTAAGAAAAAGGATTAACATATACTAATAATAAAAAAATAAAATAAAATATATTGATTTCATAAATTTTTATATTAGAGATTTGTAGTACCAAGCTAAAATCTGCTGCCCATCAAATGAGGAACCAGGCAACCAAAATGTTCTGAATACATTAATTAATCAGTTAATCAACTGAGCCACACATAAATATATGACAGATATGGCAGGTATCATAAGATTAGTTTCCCAAACCTTAGTGTGTACTTGATTCTTTGTTCAGTTGAGGCTCAGTTGCTGGAACTCCATAGTTTCAATGAACAAGGAAGTTTCTTTCTATAAATCTGCCTGAAGGTGATGCAACATTATACATTAAATATATTTTCTGGAGGTATTTGGAATGAAAATAATTTTACTGGTCATTATGAGCAGACCTACAAAAAATTCAACTCATACAATGGCAAAAGAGAAAGATGAAACTTGCAACAAAGAATAAGATACCATGTAATATATGCATAACGTTTTGTTAGTTTTTTCCTCAAATGTGGGTTCATAAAATTATTCCTATACAGTCTAACTCTCTCAGTTTGAGAGTGGTAGTAACAGCAGTGGTAGTTATTACAAGCACAAAGTTCATTATGTGATCCACTTACCTACTTCAGACCTAAGCATTTAAAAAATTGTTATGATTATAGAATCTGTTGTCTGGATTTAAGACTACTGGTCCTTAAATATTGCTTTTGACCACACACAGTATGTAATAGACAGCACTGTTTTCTTTCATCTGCCTGAGATCCTTTGAAATATTTTTACATACAAGGATGTCTTTCTGTGTCCCTTTAATCTTTATATTTTTCTTCCTTCAGGGTAAGTATACCCAATTCCTTCTGACTGCCCTCCCAGAATCTGTCTTCCAAACACCTCAGCTCTTTGAATATTTTCCAATTTGCCAACATCTCTGACATATACTGTAGAACTAAAATCAAATACTGATTTACTGTGGGAGGAAATGCCTATTATGATCCTTAGATCAGAATAATCATATAAAGGGAGAGAAGAGATACAATAAGATTTAATTCACATGTTTGCTAAACATCATTGTTGCAAAGATATGCCACTTTTACATGGAAGTCGAAAAAGGAATAATTCTCTTAAAATTGTAGAAGAAGGTGTGTTTGATTGTTTATTGAGGGGTGCTGGTATTAACTGGAATATTCATTTAGACTGCAACATCTAATCAAATAATCCCTATCTAAAATGGTCAAGAAATTTTTCAAAATAATAAATGTATCCACAGAACACCACACTCAATAATGGCTTTCAGAGGGACTGTATGCTCTTCTAGAGCAGAGGTGCACAATCAATAGGTTAGGACCACATATAGCCACCTATCCAAACTATCCTACTGAACTGCATCATTTAATGTGATAGCACGGGTGAATTATTAAACACATGCTGTATGTACATATTATAATTACACAATTATACAATTCAATTTTCAATTCAATTATACAATTATACAATTTAATGTACATATTATAATTATACAATTATACAATTCCATTTTCAAATAAATTTAAATTTTAAACAAATTTAGGTTTTCTCCAGCATACACCCTCAGAGCTTTAAACTGGCCCCTCAGTCTGAAAAAGTTTGCCCATCTAGAGCACTCCCACTCTGGAAGCTTCCTCCAGAATTGTTTTCCAATCTACAAACTGTAGTGGAATCATCTTAGTTAAACACTAGCATAAATGTTTCTCTATAAAGTTCCTCAGTTTTACATGTTTATAGTTGAAAAAATGTACTATAGTTATGCTATCACAGAGCAACTTTAAGCGTGACATCTGGCCCCCCAGTGTCCTCTAAGTTGAAACACCATAAAAAAAGATTAATGCTTTTTTTTAAAAAATCAAAACCTAAATCAAGACAGTTATTCAGCAAGGTAGCATAATAGCATTGATGATTATCATAGTTTGAGTCACGGTATTATTTCCAGCTCAGTGGGGTTCATTCACCAATCATGATTTGCAGCCAGTCAGCCAGGCTTCTCCGTTGGTGGTTGGACTCCCCCTGTTCATTAACAGACAAAGTCAAAATTTCCCTAGCCTTCAAAGCTACTGATCTTTTCCAAATGCCCTTGGAATTTTGTTTTGAGATACAGTAAATCAATAGCATTATCTAGAAAAAGAAAGAAAGAAAGAAAGAAAGAAAGAAAGAAAGAAAGAAAGAAAGAAAGATAGATAGATAGATCAGGGTTTTTAAAATTATTTTTGCAATTCCAATGTTACAGTTTTAAAAACCAACTCACACTTACCTAATAACAATGTCAAATTAGCTGAGATATTAATAACCAGGTTATCAAAGGCATAGTATATCCTCATTCAAGGCACAGGATATAGCCAGAAAAATAGACCCATTTATCTTACTTCCATAGAAAGAAAACATGATACATTTTAAATTCTGCATATTGTAAAGACAAAATTTATTGGGTACAAATTCTGTATTACCTTATGCCAGTAACTTTCTGGTAAAAAACAGCTGATCTTACCCTGAATTGTGAAGGGAAGTGTTAAGCTGGGTTGGCAACATTTAATGGTGGGAAAAAAACAATCTGGCAACTGGGCGTGGCCTGCACATCTGGGAACTGATGATCTGGAGGAGGGATGGTAATTGGTAGCCCTCCAAATGTTACTGAACTCTAGCCTGCATCCACTCTACACAGTATAGCCAGTAGTAGAGATCATGGCAGTTGTAATCCAATAACATCTGGAGGTCATGTGTTGCTCATCCTGGTTTTGGAGACAGAGTTTAGTAGAGTCTAGTAAACGGAACAACTTAGTTCTAAAATTAAATATCTGCCCACACTAGGTCATTTAAACAAACAAAACCAGAAAAAAAAAGGGGGGGGAAGAGTCCAAAGCTAGCTTTGTGGGATGGATTGTGGATAAGGAAGATGGCAGATAGCTAAGTAACACAGGCTGAAAGCAAAACCAAAATGAACAATTTTCTTTGGCTGGCTGGCTGACAATTCTAACTAGGACTTGAAATTGATCAAATGGATTTTCATTTAATGTAAAGCTGTAGTAAAACTCCAGCGTTTCATAACCTATAAAAGCTCAAAGTACTTTCTAAAAAGTACCGCTCAATTCTTGGAAGGGGTCTCCTAGCAGACATGCAGGTGCTCCTTCAGAGAGAAGTTTCTACAAAAAAAGTATTTTGGAACCTTCAGATTACTGTGTCACTCAAGGCCCAGAGAAGAGTCTCTGCTTTGGAGACAAGCTTTAAGTTTCTGAGGCTTCTTCCATGTAATATGTTCCATCCCATCTGTCCTTAAACCACTATCGTACATGTGTATATATATACATACAGAAAATAAAAACACACAGCACTTACTGCAGTATTTAAACATATGTGACTGTTTTCACTGTCTATATGAAAAGTAGCTATTTTTATCATAAACTATAAAATAAAAAATTGGATACTCAGCATTAAGGAAGTAACAGTAACCTAGCATTTTTTTTAATACAAAGATACGCTTTTTAAAAACACACACACACTTAAATGGAACTTTATAAAAGAGCTGGAATTAAGAATGCATGATATCTGATTCAGAGTAGGAAAAATATTCAACACTGAATTGGTAATTTAGGCAGTTATTTATTTATATATACATACTTATGGCCTACCCACTATCCAGAGGAGCTTGTAGAAAAATACAATCTATAAAAGCAGGAAACTATGGTTAACCAAATCAAATAAATAATTATAAAGCTTGTTATCATAAACATAGTGACAGCAACAAAGAGGCACTTAAGGGTCAAAGGATCAGGTTGTAGGTACTAAATCCCAAAGGTGAGAGCAAAAAGTCAGGTCTTCACCTATTACCAAAAGACATATTGATCTACATGCTATTTTCTTTTTGAACAATACAGTACAATCTTTCCTAGCATTTGCATTTTAAAAATACCTGCACATTAAAGAATTTTAAAGTCTTTTTTTTCCCCTTTAATTGCTCTTCATCCAATGTAATTGCTCTTCAAGCAATGTTATTTAATTGATAATATTGGTCTACCCAGTACAACTTTCTTCCAGGCTCTAATGCCTTCTGAATGTGTTGAAGTATACCTCACAAAATTCCCAACCACTCTACCAACTGGAAATTATAGGGGTTGTAGCCCAATAGACTTAGAAAGTGAAGGGCTAACAAAAATCAGTAGTAAACTGTGCCATATTCTACCATTTTATCAGCACTCTTAAAAAGCATTTTTTGGTACCTGGGGCTTTATAACTTGGGTGTCCCTTACTTTGTTTTTATGGTAAATGGATGCTAAATATCTTTTTCTATAAAGCAACAGGGCTAGCCTCTAATTTTGCCCTAACTTTTGAATCGTCTTCTACATCAACTCAAAGGAAGCAAGTTTTCTACCATTCTGCATTTCAATAGCACTACTAATTATTGTCTCAAACAAAACACAATGGCCTGGGAAGAGATGAATAAATGATACAACATGAAAAACGTGACATTTTTCATACAGTAACATTATATGTGAACACACATTCCCATCCCATAAAGCTAAACACAACATTCTGAGTTTGTAACAGCGAAGCCAACCAGAAATGTAGCATCTCAGCATCACATTATTAAAATATCTTTGGAATGTTATATAAAAATCCATC